GCATAACGGAGATAAAACACCTCAATTACTGGGAGCGCTTGAGGTTCCTAAACCTGTATTCCCTGGAATGCAGGCGGGAGAGATACATGATTATATACACCTGGAAAATCCTAGAGGGACTAGTACCAAACTTGCACACGAAAATCACTCACTACGAAAGCAAAAGACTTGGCAGACGATGCAACATCCCCCCAATGAAAAGCAGGGGTGTCACTAGCACATTAAGAGACCATACAGTAAGTGTCAGGGGCCCGAGACTGTTCAACTGCCTCCCAGCATACATAAGGGGGATTACCAACAGACCCCGGCAGTCTTCAAGTTGGCACTGGACAAGCACCTAAAGTCGGTTCCTGACCAGCCGGGCTGTGGCTCGTACGTTGGTTTGCGTGCAGCCAGCAGTAACAGCCTGGTTGATCAGGCTCTGATCCACCAGGAGGCCTGATCACAGACCGGGCCGTGGGGCCGTTGACCCCCGGAACTCTCTCCAGGTAAACTCCAGGTAAAGCATTTTAGGTCAAGGTTAATATTGCACAGTAGTAAGTGTGGATGTTCTGAACAGGGAGTAAGTTTAGATCTATGAAGAGTGGGGGGGGGGGTGTTGCCAGGGATGGGATTTAGTGATTATTCTTACTGCGGCTTTTTGTTGGGTTATTATTGGCTTTAGGTGTGTTGCTGCAGTTGAACCCCAAGCACAGATAGCATAGGTGAGGTATGGATATATAAGTGAATGGTATAGTGTGAGAAGGGCAGTTTGCGGCACGTAGTATCATATCTTGGAGAGGATCCCCACCGTTTTGGATACTTTTTTTTGTTATGTGTTGGATATGGGTGCTGAAATTTAGGTTGTTGTCGAGGTATAGGCCAAGGAATTTGCCCTCATTATGTCTGGCAATTAGAGTGTTGTCGATCTTAATGTTAAGTTGTGCAACACCTGCTCTGCTACCAAACATAATATAGTAGGTTTTGTCAGTGTTAAGTTTAAGTTTATTGGCTGTCATCCAAGTCGATATTTTGAGCAGCTCCTCGTTAACAATGGTGTTGAGGGTGGCAAGATTAAGGTGGGAGATGACGTAAGTTGTGTCGTCAGCAAAGAGAATGGGTTTCAGGTGTTGGGATACGTTTGGAAGATCATTGATGTAAATGAGGAAGAGCAGGGGTCCAAGGGCACTTCCCTGCGGAACTCCAGTATCAAGTGGTCGTATTGATGAGGCTGTGTCTTTAATGGTGACATACTGATACCTATTATAGTGGTCAAGTTTGTGGATTAGGATGCCGTGGTCAACTGTGTCAAACGCTTTTCTTAGGTCAATAAAAATTCCTAGCGGATATTCCTTATGTTCCAGTGCTGTGTAAAGCAGGTCTAGCATTTTTATAATTGCATCATTAGTGCTTTCATTTTTTCTGAATCCAAATTGGCAGGGGTTGAGTACATTTTGTGCCGTTATAAATGAATACAGTCTCCTGTGCTCAAGTTTCTCGAAGATTTTGGATAGCAATGGTAAGTTTGATATTGGCCTATAGTTGTTTACATCTGTGGGGTCACCACCTTTATGTATTGGTGTAACCCTTGCTGTTTTGAATAGTGTCGGGAAAGTGCTAGTTTCGAGTGACTTGTTAAAAAGTAATGTAATAGCATGTGAAAGGACATGGGCCGCTCGCTTGTACAATAATGGTGGGACGTGAGACAGATTCCCCGAGTTATTTTTAAGTGACTTTATGATCGCAGTGACTTCCGTGGGCTCAGTTAGTACAAGATAGAAGGAATTTGGGAAATTCCCATCTAGGTAGTCCCCGGCACGGGCACTGGTACGTGGGATTTTACTGGCGAGATCAGATCCTATGTTTGAGAAGAAGTCATTTATCTTGTTAGCTGTATCAGTGGGATGCAGTGGTGTTTCATGAGGTTTAGTTAGGACAATATTCTTGTTATTTTTAAGTTTGTGGGTCCCCAGAATCTGGGAAAGTGTTTTCCAGGTATTTTTTATATCTCCTCTTGTGTCAGTGAATCTGCTGGAGTAGTACAGTTGTTTGGCTTTCTTTATTACTTTGGTGAGAACTGATGAATAGTGTTTAAGAATATCTTTGTGTATTAAGCCCTGTCTATATTGCTTTTCAAATTGGTGTTTCTTATCAATGGATTTCAGAATGCTGCTGGTTAGCCATGGGCAACCGAGCCGTTTATTCATGATCTGCTTCGTTTTTATGGGACAATGTTTGTTGTATAGTCTAAGTATTTTGTTAAGAAAAATGTCTGTCCAATCGTCAATACCATTGGCATTGGAGAATTCTGTAGGCCAGTCAACAGTCTCTAGGTATGCTGTGAAATTCCTTATTGAGGCCTCGTCATGGAGTCTAAATGAAACTTTGTTGTATTCGAGTGGTGGCTTACTAATGTTTGTTAAGAGGAAGGTTGGGTAGTGGTCAGTAGTGCTGTCTGTGATTATCCCTGATTTAAGGGGGGCTAGTACATTGGTCCATATGTGGTCTATTATGGTTGCACTTGTCTCAGTCAGCCTGGTTGGTTTAGTTATTATTGGTATGAGAAGTGTGTTGTTCATATTGTTGATGAAATCAGTTACAGTCTGATCATCTGGTAGGCCAAGGTTGATATTGAAGTCTCCAGCTAAGAGGTGGTGCTTATTCATTTGTCTGTTTGTTATTAGTGCCTTGAGATTCTCACTGAAGTTTGGGATGTTTGTGTGGGGTATCCGGTAAATGGCACTGATTGTTATAGGCGTCTTGAGGTTTTTTACAGTAAAATTAGCAAAAATGTATTCCCCATATTCATCACTAAAGCAATTGATGCTAATACAAGATAGTTGGTTAGAGTAATAGATTGCAGTACCACCCCCAATTTGGTATGGTCTGCAATTGTGGATTGCTGTGTATCCTGGTAGTGGGTAGATATCTATTGTGTCCTGCTTAAGCCAGGTCTCAGTAAGAATAATGCAGGAGAAGGGTGTCTTTAGTGTCTTTAAGGAACTGACGTTGTAGTTAAGAACTGATAGGAGTGTGATATACATATACTCCAGGAAGACAGAAAGACAGATAAGCAGAGACAGAGAGACAGGCAGGCATATAGACAGAGACAAGCAGATAGGCAGACAGATAGACAGACAGACAGGCAGATAGACAGATAGATAAATAGACAGACAAGACATGTTTGTGTGTAACAGTGATAACTAATACAGGAGGGTTAGCTTGAGCAGTGGGCATTTATCAAATGTCACTGGGCTCTCAACAGTACAGGGAAGCCTTTCATAACAACATTATTGGGACCTATAAATACTGTACTTTGTATAAATATCTAGACAATAGTAAATAACCCAGGCAGGTGTAAATGTTCACCTGTCAATGTGACTGTGACTATTTGAGCACTATTTCAGTACCTAATATATTGTCAGAACAAAGATTGGCTATGAAATTACAAGAACTATAATAAATTGTAATTATAAGAGCATAAAAAATATATAAATTAAAATAAAAACAAGAAAAAAAGGTACATTGGCGACACTTCTGCAAGCGGCAGGAGTCGATGTTGCTGACAGGTGAGCATCCAGAGCCAACTTCACGGTCTTATATCTCGGTAAGTACTGACAATAAATTTTTTTTTTAATCCTATAACATGTAGAAAAATGTGCTCTTCATTTCAAAAGAAAAAAAAAAATTCGTATTTTTCAGAATATTCGGAGCACCACTCGAGTGAACGTAGATCTACGTTTCGACAGCTTAAGGTTTAACGCACTCAACACCTCACACACTCAACACCTAACACTTCACACACTCAATACCTAACACCTCAAACACCTAACACCTGTGCATGTAACAACTCACACACCCAACACCTGAGCACCTAACACCTTACACACCCAACACCTGAGCACCTAACACTTCACACACTCAACACCTGAGCACCTAACACTTCACACACTCAACACATGAGCACCTAACACTTCACACACAACACCTGAGCACCTAAACACCTAACACACCCAACACCTGAGCACCTAACACCTCACACACTCAACACCTGAGCACCTTACAACTCACACACTCAACACCTGAGCACCTAACACCTCACACACTCAACACCTGAGCACCTAACACCTCACAACACCCAACACCTGAGCACCTAACACCTCACACACTCAACACCTGAGCACCTAACACCTCACACACTCAACATCCGAGCACCTAACACCCCACACACTCAGCACCTGAGCACCTAACACCTCACACACTCAACACCTAACACCTCACACAACCCAACACCTGAGCACCTAACACCTCACACACTCAACACCTGAGCACCTAACACCTCACACACTCAACACCTGAGCACCTAACACCTCACACACTCAACACCTGAGCACCTAACACCTCACACACTCAACACCTGAGCACCTAACACCTCACAACACACTCAACACCTGAGCACCTAACACCTCACACACTCAACACCTGAGCACCTAACACCTCACACACTCAACACCTGAGCACCTAACACCCCACACACTCAACACCTGAGCACCTAACACCTCACACACCCAACACCTGAGCACCTAACACCTCACACACTCAACACCTGAGCACCTAACACCTCACACACTCAACATCTGAGCACCTAAACACCCCACACACTCAGCACCTGAGCACCTAACACCTCACACACTCAGCACCTAACACCTCACACATTCAACACCTGAGCACTTTACACCTCACACACTCAACACCTGAGCACCTAACACCTCACAGACTCAACACCTGAGCACCTAACACCTCACAGACTCAACACCTGAACACCTAACACCTCACACTCAACACCTGAGCACCTAACACACTCAACACCTGAGCACCTAACACCTCACAGACTCAACACCTGAGCACCTAACACCTCACACACTCACCGCCTTAATACACTATATTTCACTTCTCAGACTCTCTCTATATATCATCTAGCACATGAATGTTGTATTGTAATAAAGGCAGCTTTAACTTACCTGTGATAGACAGGAGAAACAATACAAGCAGTGACTGACGCGAGTGACAGTCTATTATGGTGACTTGTTGTTGTTATTGTTAAGGGTCACTGAAAGGTTGTGCATCATCCACCACCAGCTGTCCTTCATTATTTATTTTATTTATTTATTTATTTATTTATTTATTATTTGTGCATACATACAGAGGTACAAAAAAATACAGATAAGAGCAGCATGCCAAAGCCACTTATACTATGCATAGCATTTCGGGCTGGCTTAAAATTAACTAAGCAATGATGAAATCAGTGATAATACATTATTGTAAACAGATAACTATAAAGCACAAGTGAGTATTACAAAGACAGGTCATATGGTTGTATGCATTGTTGTACATTCAGTCGTATGGAGTATTCTGTTAGGTAGTGTATTTAAAAAATAATAAAGTTAGATTGGGTTTTAGGTTTAACATTTATGTGATATAATTGTGAGAAACATTTAAGATATACAATTATAAGGTTCAGTTTATTCAGTATTTATTGGTTTTGGGTGAGTAAGTGATCTTTGAGAAGAGACTTGAATTTATAAACAGGTAGTGTTTCTTTTATATTTGCAGGTAATGAATTCCAGATTTTAGGGCCTTTTATGTGCATTGAGTTTTTGCATAGTGTGAGATGGACACGAGGAACATCAAAGAGTGATCTGTGCCTTGTGTTATGGTCATGTGTTCTGTTGAGGTTGGCAAGGAGATGTTTGAGGGAGGGTTAATATCAGAGTTAAGTGTTCTATGTATGTAATAGGTGCAGTAATAAGTATGGATGTTTTGTATGGTGAGTAGGTTTAGTGTATTGAATATTGGTGGAGTGTGCTGCCTGTAGTGAGAATTTGTTTATCATTCTAACTGCAGCCTTTTGTTGGGTAATTAGTGGTCTGAGATGGTTAATTGTTGTTGAGCCCCATGCACAAATTCCATAGGTGAGATAGGGGTAAATAAGAGAGTGATATAGGGCCAGGAGGGCTGACTGTGGAACATAGTACCGTATCTTCGATAGTATGCCTACAGTCTTGGAAATTTTCTTAGAAATTTGTTGTATATGTGTATGAAATTTGAGTCTATTATCAAGGTGGATTCCTAAGAATTTTCCCTCTGTTAGCTTTGTGATTGGTGATCCGTTTATCATTATGTAAGAGGGACATCTGTAGCTCTGTTTACCAAACTGAATGAAGTAGGTTTTGTCATTGTTTAGTGTAAGTTTGTTAGTCCTCATCCAGGTAGATATTTTCTGTAATTCGGTATCTACAGTATTGGCTAGCGTGACTGGGCTCGGGTGAGAGAAAACGTATTAGTGTCATCTGCAAATAGTGTGGGTTTGAGTAATTGCGAAGCATTTGGAAGGTCATTTATGTATAGGAGAAAGAGAAGAGGGCCAAGGACACTTCCCTGTGGGACACCAACTGTAATTGGTTGCGCAGAAGAGTTTGCCCCATTTGAGTACACATATTGACTTCTGTTGCTGAGGTATGACTTGAGGTAGTTGAGGGTGCCCTCTTATACCATAGTGTGACAATTTTACGTGGAGCAAGTCATGGTCAACTGTATCAAAAGCTTTACGTAAGTCAATGAAGATCCCCAGTGGGACTTCTTTTTTCTCTATTGCAGTGTATATATGTTCTAGCATGTGTATAATAGCATCATAGTATTTTATTAGGCCTGAATCCAAATTGGCAGGGTTGAGTATTTTGGGAGATAAGTAGGAGTAGATTCGTTTATGAATTAATTTTTCGAAGATTTTTGAGAGAGGGTGTAAGTTGGATATTGGCTTATAGTTATTCAACTCTGTTTGGTCTCCTCCTTTGTGGATCGGGGTGACCCTTGCTATTTGAGTAATGTAGGGAAGGTGGAGATTCTATGGATTTGTTAAGAGTGTTGCAATGATTGGTGATAGCACTTGTGACAGTTTTTTGTATATAAAGGGTGGTAAGGTATTTAAATCTCCTGCCTTGTTTTTTATTTCGTTGATAACAAGGGGGACTTCGTATGGGTTAGCGGAGAAAAGGAACATGTGTTGGGGTAGTTGCCGGGGGAGGAAAGCATTTGGGGGGGAAAATTGAGCTTTGGTTTTTAATTGGAAAGGTTTTTGGGTCCTTTAGTGGAGAAGAAATCTTTGAGTTGTTTGCTGTTTCTTTTGGGGTGGGAGTTGGGGTTCATCTGTTTCTCCCTAATTTTTTTTCGCTATTTCGTGATATCTTTTTTTTCCCCAGAATTTCTGATGGGGGTTTTTCCGGTCTCTTTTTATCACCTCGTAATTTGGGAAATAATCTGTTTTTTTAAAATAAAATTTTTTTTTGCCCTTCTTATAAGGTGGTTGGGAAATTGAGGGTTAAGGTTTTTTTTGGCCCTCTGGTTATGTGCCCCATTCTGTACTTTTTTTCCCATTTTGGTGTTTTGTATTTATGGTTTTGAAAATGCTGGGTTTTTTAGCCGGGGAATGTTCAGTCTTTTAGCTGTCATCTTTTTTAATTTTTTTAGGGCAGTGTTTTGTTTTAAAAGGTATTGGGTTTTTTTTAGAAAATTATTTAATACTTTCGTCAATACCCTGTATAATTTCAAGCTCATTGTGCCAATTTCAATGTTTGCTACTGCTTTTGTGAAGTTATTAATGGCTGCCCTCTTTTGTGAATTGGGAAGGCAATTTTAAGAAGGTCTTGGGGTAGTTTACCAAGATTTGTTAGAGGAAAGTGGGGAAGTGGTCTGTGGTATTATCTTTTAATTATGCCTGTTTTTAAAAGGGGGGATAGGGTTTTTGGACCAGTGGGTCAAGTGGGGGAAAAAAACAAGTCTCTGTAACTCTTGTAGGTTTTGTTATGTTGGTATAACATGCATTTAAAACTCATTGTTTTTGGGTAAATTTTCAGTAACGTGGGGGGTCTGGTTTTGCAGGAGATTTATTTTTGAAGTCACCTGAGAGTATTTAAGTGATCTTTGTTCATGCGTGCATCATTTTACAACTTCCTGGTTTTGACAAAATTTTGGCTAATTTTTTTACTGGGGAAATCTGTAGATGTTTACAATGAGAGGTTTTTTGTGGGGTATTTGGATTTAAATTTGGCTATTATATTTCCCCCATGTTCACCCCTTGTGCAAGTATTCATCCCTAAGTTTGTGCATACCCCACTACCAGCTGTCCTTCATCCCGGGAAGGTTGTGAATCACCCATACCAGCTTCCTTCATCCCTGAGAGGTTGTGCATCTTCCACACCACTGTCCTTCATGCCTGAGGGGGTTTTGGCCCTCATCCACAACCAGCTGCCCCTTCATGCCTGAGAGTAGTGATCTTTCCACTCCCAAAGCTGTCCTTCATGCCTGAGGGGGTTTTGGGGGCATCATCCACTCCCCAATTTTCCCTTTCATGCCTGAGGGGTTCGCAGCATCCACCCCCCACTGCCCTTTCATGCCTGAAAAAGGTTGTGCATCATCCACTCCCAGCTGTCCTTCATGCCTAAGGGTTGTGCATCATCCACTCCCAGCTTTCCTTCAGCCCTGAAGGTTCCCGCAGCACCCAACAAAACTGTCCTTCATGCCTGAGAGGTTGTGCATCTCCATTTACCACTGTCCTTCTTCCCGGGAAGGTTGTGCCATCCACAACCACTGCCTTTCATGCCTGGGGAGTTGCACCAACCCACCACCAGCTGTCCTTCTTTCCCTTTAGAGGTTGTGCAGCATCCACCACCTGCTGTCCTTCTTTCCCTGAGGGGTTTGTGCATCACCCAACTACCATTGTCCTTCATGCCTGAGGGGGTTTTTGCTTAAATCCCTCCCCACTGCCCTTCATCCCTAAAAGAGGTTTGCATCACCCCCTTACCAGCTGTCCTTAAATGCCTGAGAGGTTGTCAACACCCCCCCAGTGCCCCTTCATCCCTGAGGGGGTTGTGAATCATCCATTTACCAGCTGTCCTTCATGCCTGAGAGGTTGTGCAGCACCCCTACCCAGCTGCCTTCATGCCGAGGGGTTTGGGCATCATCCACTCCCAGCTGCCCTTTCAGGGCCTGAGGGTTTGTGCATCCCCACTCCCAAGCTGTCCTTCTTGCCTGAGAGGTTGCGCAGCATCCACCCCCCAGCGGGTCCTTCATGCCTGAGAGGTTGTGCTTTCACCCATTTCCAGCTGTCCTTCTTTCCGGGAGAGGTTGCCAGATCCACCCCAGAGAGGACTTTCAGGGCGCGCATAACGGAGAAAAAACCCCACCTCAATTACTGGGAGCGCTTGGGGTTTCCCTTTAAACCTGTTTTCCCCCTGGAACGCAGGAGGGAGGATACATATTATATCCCAACCTGGAAAAATCCTAGAGGGACTAGTACCAAACTTGCACACGAAAAAATCACCCCACTACAAAAAGCAAAAGACTTGGCAGACGATGCAAAAACCCCCCAATGAAAAGCAGGGGGGTCACTAGCACGTTAAGAGACCAAAACTAAAAGTGTCAAGGGGCCCGAGGGCTGTTCAACTGCCCCCAGTACACATAAGGGGGGGTTACCAACAACCCCGGCAAGTCTTCAAGCGGGGACTGGACAACACCTAAAGCCAGTTCCTGATCAAGCCCGGGCTGTGGTCGTACGTTGGTTTTTTCGGCAGCCCGCAGCAACAGCCTGGGTTTATCAGGCCTGACCACCCGGGGGCCTGGTCCTAGAACCCGGGCCCCCGGGGGCGTTCACCCCCCGGAACTCTCTCCAGGTAAACTCCGGGTTAAAAATCCCGTTTTTTCCTTCATGCCTGGAGGTTTTGCCCGCAATTTTTTTTCCCCCACCAAACTGTCCCCTTTATGCCCCAAGAGGGGTTTTGCATCATCCACCCCCCAGGTTTCCTTTTTTGCCTGAGGGTTGTTTCAAACATTCCCCCCACCGCTGTCCCCTTTATTCCTGAGAGGTTGGCAACATCCCCCACCAGCTGTCCTTCATGCCTAAGGGGGTTTTTGATCATCCACCACCAGCTTCCTTCATTTGGGGTTTTAGGGTTTGGGGCAGCATCCACCAAAAAAACTGTCCTTCATGCCTTTAAGGTTGTTTTCATCAAAAACCCCCACCCGCTGTCCTTTATGGGATTTTTCCCGG